TTTGTGGTTTTTTTTTTTTTTTTTTTTTTTTAAATTTTTTTTTTTTTTTTTTTCCCAAAAAAAAAAAAAAAAAAAAAAAAAAAAAAAATACAACAGGTCGAAATACACGTTCAATCAACACGTGTGCATTATTGCATACTATCAAGATCCAAATTGTCATCAACAACAAAACAAAAATAGAAAAGAAAATTGTTCAATGTTAAAACCGGCTGATTATAATTGTAATTGTTTTAAGTACGTGTGTGTGTGTGTGTGTATATTTGATTGACAGATTGGTTGTGACTGACTATACTGATAGATATATATGCTTATAATTATAAATCATGGAACCATGAATACTATAGTCAAGATCACCAGTCTATAAACACATTCATTCAATAACTAAATGATTGAATACTGTATGTGATGTATCGGTATTTTTTTTTTGCCACACACCATATTGATTGAAGCTTATTTTGTTTCGTTTTATTTTTTTCACCCAAAAATGGGTTTGAAATTTTCATTTTGTCGTTTGTTTAGTTATTTAGTTAGTTAGTTAGTTAATGTCACACAATGGCCAGTTTTGATTTTTTTTTGTTTTACAAAAAGCATATTACCTACAATACCAAATGGAAGATACAATCAGAACGCCCAAATAATAATAATCTAGACAAATGTGAATTGAATGAATGAATGAATGAATGAATGAAAGAGAGAGAGAGAGAGAGAGAGAGAGAGAGAGAGAAATTTAAATGGTAGGTTATAATTTGAAGAAAAAAAAAACGTAGAATATATAAAAAGGCCAATAATTTTTTTTTCTTTATTTTGTTGTTGTTGTTGTTAAAATCTTGTAAAAATTTAATAATCCAATCTTATGGATTATTTAATTGAATTTAGTTAAGAATCGTTATTGATCTTTTTACTAATCGTTTTACATTGTCTTTGTGTGTTTGTTTGTGTAGAATTTTTTCAATTTTTTCAATTTCCCGCCATTTTTGTTTTCAATTTCCAGCTATTTGTTCCTGATTTTTGCGATTTTGTTTGTTTACAGAAAAAAAACAATGAAGATTTCAATAAAAAATACTAATAATAGCCAATTGGCTATCATTATTCGATTAGCATTATTATTTTGTTGTTTTTTACAATCAACAAAAACTGAAACTATATCATCAATCGAAACCAGAATTATTGAATCATCAATATCGAATATCATTGATAATAATAATGAAAATTTTAATACAAATCATTCAATATTACAATCATCATCATCATCTATTATTGAAAATATTATAACTGATGGTACTGAATTATTTAATACATCAACCAATACAACAGCTAAAATAATTGTAAAAGCAACACCATTATTAAAATTAATACATGATTATTTATTGGTTATATTACTTATATCGGTAATGTTTTCAATGGGTTGTGGTGTAACAATTTTTGAGGTAAAAATTAAATTAAATTATTTATAATTTTCATTAAAATTTTTTACAAAAAAAGGTATGGAATCATCTAAGAAGACCAACAGCCGTTTTAGTTTGTATTGCTGCACAATTTTTTCTTGTACCATTTATCGGTTATTTAATTATAACATTATTAGAATTAGAAGTTTTACATTCAACCGGATTGTTAATATTGGCATGTTGTCCAGGTAAGGTTGTTTTTTTTGTTTCCTGGAAATTTTCTCGTGGTTTTAATCAAATTAAACACACACAGAAGAAAAACAGATAGATAGATAGATTAATTATGTGATATCCACACTGATATTCAATGACATATTGATTGACTTTCAAATCAAATCAAATAAGTATCGGTCGATAGTAATGATAATTTTTCATGGTTCAAGGTTTGTCCTTTAAACATATATTTTCTCCCCCCTTGAAAATATCTAATTCGATAAACAAAAAACCTTGGCTATTTACACACAGACACGTTTGTAATTAAATATATTATCAGGATAGTTATAATAGCCATTTAAAAAAAACACCATAATGATTCAGGAAAACAAAAAAAAACTTTATAATTAAACAATGGTCATTCCATAATTGATTGATTGGATTGAATATGATGACCAATGATAATGGTTTTGATAAAAAACAAACATCAGAAAACCAAAAACCAAAACAAACTTTTAAAAAATATCGTTTTGTTTCATTTGCAAAACAAAACAAAAAAGAAATCAACATATATGTTACGCTTGTTTGCCTTTACAAACCTTGATTGATTGATTGATTGATGATTTCTTTTTCCCACTAATCATTCATTGTCATCACAGAAATAATAATATTATTTTAGCTAAATTTACAAAATGATTTTTACAAAAAAAAAATTATTATTATTTTTCTCAAAGAATCATAGAAAATCGGGTTATGTTTTTTTTTTAGTTTTGAAATTGCAACAAATCTATGAAATTTAAACATTAATTAATTTAATTTTTGTTTGTTTGTTGTTTTTCTGGGTAATCTTTATTATTTCATTATTTCATCGGTTTGTTTTCCTGATTATTACACACATAAACAGGTGGTGTTACATCAAATATTTTCACCTTTTTAGCTGATGGTGATCTTCCATTAAGGTATTATAATGATGTTTTTGTTGTTAATGAATTAAAAATGATTGAATTTTTGTTTTTTCCCACCACCACCACCATCAACAAAATATCTAATATTATTATTGCAGTATTACAATGACATCGGTTGCAACAATTGCAGCATTATTATTAATGCCATTAAATGTATGGCTTTATGGTCGTAATCTTGAAACAAATAATTTAGTTATACCATATATGGAAATGTCAATAACATTAATATTAGTTACAATACCGGTTATTATTGGTATGATAATTAATTGGCGTTTGCCAAAATATACACCATATATAACAAAAATTGGTGTATTTGCTGGTTTTGGTATTATTTGTTTTTGTCAATCATTAGAAGTAATTATATTTCCCGATATATTTTTCGGTGTACCATATCGTCTTTATACTGCTGTTATATTATTACCGGCATTTAGTTTTATGGCTGGTTATATATTTGCTAAAATATTTCGTTTAGATAATAAAATTTGTCGTACAATCGGTATTGAAATTGGTATTAAAAATGTTGGTTCAGCATTGACAATCATTTCGCTTTCATTTACACTTCAGGTATTGTTTGTTCATTTTGTAATTTAAATAATTTTATTAATTTTAATGATTTTTTCTTCTTCTTCTTATTTTCATCCCCTTCCCACGCCACAAAAAAAAACAAAAAGCAATTAAAAAAAGCCTGGGTATTTCCATTTTTATATGCATTTTCATCATTTTTAGTTATATTTGCTGTTACAATTGGTTATAAAATGATAAAACGTTTGGCTTTTAATCAATTACATAAAGATTTTCAACAAGTTAATCAAACAACAAATGAAAAATTTAAAAAAAATATTAATAATGATGAAAATGATAATCGTATTATCAATGTTAATGATGATGATGAAATGAATATTATAAAAGAACGTTTATTATTAGTAAATGAACAAAATGTTAAACAATTTCAGATTATTAATCAAAGATAATTGATTATTGATTATTGATTATCGGGTCATCCAGAAAATTCTCACCGTTTTTGCCTCTTTATTTCTAATATTTTGCATTATTTTGTTCACATTTTTTTCCTACAAACATTTTTCTTAATTTAGTTTTAGCACCTTTGATTTATAGAATTTTGAAAAATTACATTTTGTTACACACTGATTTTATACTCAAAAAAAACTTAATAATAATTTACCTGCTTAACTGAAAATAAAAACTAATTTTTACCCAAAAATTTCAAAAAATTTAAAAAAAAAAATTTAAGGAAATTTTTTTGAAAACAATCTTTGGATGACGATCCAGAAACTTTACTGGAAATCAAATTGTTCTATTTTTTTTTCTCTCTTAACTCGTTTCATGTTCATTTTGACAGATGATTTTGATGAAAATCGTTTGGTTTTAGCTATTGAGAATCAAGTTTTTTTTGCTGTTGTTATTCCAAATAAAAATTCAAATATCAATTTTGTCAACAACATCACATCTTCTTGAATTGATCTTTGACAAACAAACAAAAACAAAAAGTCGATTCTAGTCATATTCTTTCAATTGTGTATTTATAAACAGAACAAACATTTTCATTGATCCAACTATCTATCGGATTGCATCAGCCGATTGAATCAGCATTGAATCAACAGAAAAAAGGTCTGTATTTTTGTTTTAAAATATCCCCCCTCCCAAAAAATAATAAGAGGAAAAAATGTCTCACCGTTTTTACCATGTAATATCAAACAAAACAAAACAAGGATATCCACTTGTTGTTTCAATTCAAAAACGTCATCATCATTTGAAACAAGTTTTGTTTTTCGTTCTCTCTTCGTTTCTCTTCTCTTTTTTGCATTAAAAAATCCTCCAAGTTAAATATCACTGAGAAGTATAATGAGTGAAATGATTTTTTACTCATTATGCCGCTAGGTTTAACGTTTTTTCTCGTATAATTTTTGTTTGTTTTGTTTTTTCGATTTCATTTTTGAAACGATACATTATTATTATTACACGTGTCATTACACTATATTTTTTTAATGTTAATGTTTTTTTTTAATAATAATTTTTATTTATTGTTTTTTTTTCAATGATTAGTTCATTGTGATTGATTGAATCATTTCCTACGTTGTTTGTTTGTGGATTTTTTTTTGTTTTTGGGTCATCTTTCATTTCGGATCATATCGACGACAACAATTTCAGAATCGAAGTTTCACTCAAATATCAAACGATTTTTTTCCTTTCCAAAAAAATGTTATTCGATAAACAAAAACAATCGTTTTGTTTGACGATATTTTTAGTGATCATCATATCATTGATTATTGGTTTGGAATCGGCACCACGTCCACCAATACATCATTCACAAATACCCGGTGCAAGTGAAAATGAAATTGAAGAAAATGTTAATGAAATTCATGATGATGATAAAGTTGATAAAGAAATTGATGATTTGGTTTGTATTATTAAATTCTTTTTGCCATTCTTGTTTTTAATTTATTAAAATTTTTCTAATATTTCAGGGACTAGAATATGGCCGTTATCTACAAGAAGTTGTCAAAGCATTGGATGAAGATCCAGTTTTTTCGAAAAAATTAGGCAATGTTACACATGAACAAATAATGGTTTGTTTAAAATTTTTATTCAAAAATGAATTTATTCATTGAATTTTTTTCGGTTTGATAGAATGGACACGTATCACGTATAATTGATCAAGTTGCACCAGATGTTCGTAATCGTCTTGATGAATTAAAACGTATCGAATTGGATCGTTTAAGAAAATTGGCAATGAAAGAACATCGTCTTGAGGAAGAGATTGCTGCTGAACAAAAATCTCATGGTGATGGTGCGTATGTTGATGATAATGATGATGATAATAATGATGTGGAAAGTGGCCGACGTTGGCGTACCACTACTACTAACAAACGAAAATCTCAAATACCAAACAAATTACTTGGTCTGTACCATTTCTTATCGACTAATAACTAAATTATTTTTATTTGTGTTATTTTGTCGTTATTTTTTTCCCGTTGATTTCATTTCCTACATTCAATATTAACTAAAAGTTGAATAGTCTTTCATAATTAGCCAATTAGTATTGATAAAATTGAAATTATTCAAGTGTTTTTTTTTTGCATTATTGTTCCATTACTAAATTTTATTAATTTTTTGTTTGTTTGTTAGATGATGGAAATGCCGCACATCTTGATCATTCAAATCCTCATACATTCGAAGCTGAAGATTTACAACGATTAATTTTACAAGCTACAAAAGATCTAGATGAATTGGATAAAAAACGTCGACGTGATTTTAAACAATATGAAATGGAAAAAGAACTTCATTATCGTGAATCATTACAGAATTTAACAGCTGAACAAAAAGTTGAAATAGAAAAAAAACATGAAGAAGTTAAAAAGAAACATTTTGAACATCCAAAAGTTCATCATCCAGGTAGTAAACAACAATTAGAAGAAGTATGGAAAGAACAGGATCATATGCCTGAACAAGAATTTGATCCAAAAATATTTTTCCATATGCATGATATAAATGGTGATGGATTTTTAGATCAAGAAGAAGTAGAATCAATATTATCTATTGAAGTTAAAAAATTATATAATGAAAATGATCCAAGTTATGATCGTAATGAAATGATGGAAGAATATCATCGTATGCGTGAACATATTTATAGAGAATTTGATACTAATCGTGATGGTTTAATTTCAAAAAAAGAATTTCTTGATTATAGTAAACAAGCTGAATTTAATCGTGATGAAGGTTGGAAAGGTATTGAAGAAGCACCTGTTTATACTGAAGAAGAATTAAAACGTTATGAACAAGAACGTAGACAATTACAAGAACATTATGCTAGATATGGTGCATATGGTTATAATCAACAACCTGGAATGGAATATCAATATCATCCACAACAACAACAACAACCTTATCAACAAGGACAGCCAGTATATTATCAAGTACAAAATCCCAATCAACAACAACAACAACATCATCAACAACAAGTTTATGTTGTAAATGCACCACCGGAACATGTACAACAACCTGTGCAATATCAACATGTACAATTGGCTCAACAAACTTATCAACAACAAATGCCACCACAACAACAACAACATCCAAATCAAAATAACTTACCTGCACAACAACAACAACAACAATATCATCCAAATATTCAAAATCATCAGCCCATGATGCAACAACAACAACAACCGCAACATATTCCAAATGTACAACAATATAATCCAAATCAACAACAACAACAACATCCAAATCAATATGGTGTAGGTCAACAACAACAACAACAACCAAATCAACAATTTAATACCCATTCTGTTCAACAACAGCAACAGCAACAAAATCAGCCAATACATCCCAAATAAATAAATATTGTCTGTCTTTAAAATTATTGCCACAAATTTTTATTTTTATTTTTTGTATGTATTTTCAATCAAATGACTACAACAACAACAACAGAATCTGATTTTTTTTTTGATTAGTATTGAATAAATTTTTTTTTTAAAAAAAACATCAAATTTTTGTTTGAATTGAATAAAAGTGCAAAAAAACAAAAAGAAAGTTTGAATTATTAGATAGATTTAATTGAGAAAAAGAATTGAGAATGAGTGAGAATTCTCTTTAAAGAGATCAACTTTGAAATATTTGCTGTTTCTTGTGAGTTTCACTAATAATAATGGATGATAAAGGTAAACAAAAACAACAAAAAGTAACGGAAAAAAATAAAATAGAAAAAGTTTGAAACATTTGAGTTTTTGTTTTTTCAATATGTTTGTTTGTTTGTTTGTTTGTTTGTTTGTGTGGATGAGTGGATCACAATTGATTGATTGATTATTATTGATGATGGAGCAATTGATTATAATGTTTAAAAATTTGTAAACTAATTTTTAACCAATCTATTTGATGATTTGATTGCCAATGAATAATTTTATCCGATAATGAATTAAATTGTAATAATTGAAATAAATATGGTTGTTTTAAATGACAACACCAACGATAATGTCTTAATATTAATTGTTTATTATTAATATTTTTATATGTAAATAAAATTTGTTTATCACTTGTTAATGTCCATTTTGACCAAATCAAATAATAAAGATGATCAATAAATGAATTTATAACAATATTATTATCATTATTCGAATTAGTATTATATTGACGAAATTTCCAAACTTGATGTATACCAAGCATATCGATTAACGATGGACGAAGAATTATTACTTTAGATCTTAATTGATTTGGCCATGGTGTTGCTTGTGAATATATTGAATTCGGTACCAATAATAATTTTTTCATTTCATTAATAGTTAAATTTTTTTCGAAATGATTATTATTATTATTCAATAATTGAGCTAATATTTTAATATTCATCGTTACAGTTTGATTTGATTGATTCGGGTGACAAAAATCGTTATTATTATGATTAGTTTTGATTGATTCGATTGAATATTTTAAACGTGCTGCTTCAAATTCATAATAATTTGAATAAGCCAAATTAAATTCATGGCAGTGTAATAAATTATCAATATATAAGGCTATATATGATGTTTGTGATTTGAACCAATATTTTTTTATCATTTTCATAATGGTTATATTGTTTTTCATTTTTTCATCATCATTATCATTTACCAATGAAACAAATTCATCAATATCAACATGTAATTGTATTGAATTTGGATATTGATAAAGACAATCATTTATAGTTAATAATTGACCACCAGAATGAATTTGTTTCCAAATAAATTCCGGTAATAATATTGATTTTAATTTTACTATATTTGACATTGTTTCATTCAAATATGATAATAGATTTTTTGCTTTTTCATTAAAATTATCATTTGCATAATAATAGAAAATTATTCTATCAAAATCTTGATTATAATAATATTCAATAAATTCAAATAGATTAAATAAATTAATTGAATCGAATAATGGTCGAACACAAACAACTGATTGAATTGTTGTTGAATTGGTTTTTTGTTTATTAATTGGAAGCCATTTTGTTTGTTTATTCAAATTATTATCTGTAATTATCACTGAATCAAAATTTGATTCAAATAAAGATGATGATGATGATGGTGGTGGTGGTGGTAAACACGTAATAATGGCAGCAGTATATAAATAATCATGATGTTCAGGAAGACATTGTAATTTAGCTTTTGTTATGATAATTTTATTATTATCATTTTTTTTCATATAACAATATAATAATTGATTATTTTGTTCATTCTGACAATATTCAATACGATTAACAATTGAAATAATATTGATTGAATATGATGATGAATATATATTATTGTTTTTAGTTTGTTCAAAACGTTCATATGCTTCATATAAATAGATACGGTCATATATTCCATCTGTCAATTAAATGGGATTAGAAAGAATTGAATTTTTGTTTGAAAAGTAAATAAACAAAGTATTTTAATGACTTACTTAATGATACATTATTATCAGAATAATTGGGCAATCGTACATGAGTTTGTAATTCATTTTTTCCATCATGATCATCATCATCATGATCATTATCATCATGGCTATTTGATGATTGTTCATATTTTTGGCAAACATCAAAATAACGTGCAATATTTGGTTGACATTTATTAATCCAATTTTCAATAGCTATATTATCATCATTATCATAGTTTTGAATTTTATTAATTGAATTTTTTATTTGGTTATCATTTTGTAAGATAGTATTATAGCTTGTAGAATAATGATAATAATGTGAATTATTATTTGATAATTTTTCAGTTGTAATTGGAATAAAATATAACCAACTATATAATAACCATGATGTTAGTATTGATATAATTAGAATAATTAATAAAATACGTTTAGCATTTGATAATATACGACAAATCATTTGTCGATAAAATTGTTGATGTTTGATCATTGTTGTTTGTTTGTTTGTTTGTTATTGCGGGTTGTTGTTTGTTTGTTATTATCATCTATCTTATTTTACCCAACTTTGATTCACTTTGATGAATCAAAATTTGAGAATTTTCTATTTTTTTTGGATAATTACAACAAAAGAGTGTGTTTAAAACTAGATTAGAGCTATCAAAATCAAAATCACAATGAATAAGACGATTTTTTTAGAAGAAGAAAAGAAAAGAAAACTTTTTGGACTAAATTTTTTTCACATGTTCAAATCACAGAATTATTTTATAATGTTGAAATTATTTTGGAAGGATTATAACAACAACAACAAACAACAACAAACAACAAAAGGAAAAAAATGAAAATTCGGATTTTTGGAAAAGAAAAAAAGAAGAAAATGTGCAAAAAACGAAAAAACACCTCAAACACAGTCATCTCATCAGGATTGATTTTATCCGAACACAAGCGCCACTATAGTGGAAAAAAATGAAAAAACTTTCCAAAATTTTCATGAAAAAAATTTCCAAAAATTTTGAACTGACGCAACGCGTATAAACTTTTGAAAATCAGCGCCATCTGTTCAGTGCAACATGAAGATTTAATTGTGAATAGCTATTCATATAAGCTGTTACGCAATTATTTCTCTCTGTGTACTACTTCATATAAAATATTATCATTTTACGAATTCTTNGCTGGCTGGCTGAGACGAAACACTTTTTTCTATTTCAATGCGCATGCTCGAAAAATGGATGGCTTGCATTTTTTATTTATAAGGATCTTTTGATTTTTACATAAACAAATGGCTGGCTTGCATTGGACTTGGCCTTATGACTAAGCTAGACTTCGTCTACTTAGTAGACGAAGCCAATGGCCAATGGCTTGCAATGCTAGTATAAAATATTATCATTTTACGAATTCTTATAACATGAATGCGAAGAAAATTGTGGAACCAAAATTCGATTTCCATTCATTTATCATGCTTCCACACAAATATCAACCCGGTATATGTATTACATACACACACAGACACACAGAAGCCATCTTTTGATCGCAATTGTTACTAAAAAATTCTTCGTTACAAAATTGACCTGTTGTTCGGATTTTTTTTTCTTCTTCTTTAAATTCACCGAAAAACACCGCGATCATGGCCACTACGACGACCACGACGACGACCTCAACTTCTCAATATTTTGAGTAAATCATATATAATTGTGATCGATCAATAGCAACAAAAAGTAAAAAAATATTATCAGTATTATCAGTGTTTTGGTGTTTGTTACCTTCTTACCTGAATTTGCCTTTAAGCTATAAATTCCTTATAAATTAGTCAATTTTATTCAATAATAATGACAAGTGATGTAAAAATTATTATCAACTAAAATGAATAATAATAATAATAATAAAATGTCAACAAATATTGATGAAAGATTTTCATATGAATCACCAAATCATCATCATCATCGTTCGATAATTAATGAATCAACTGCTATTGATAATTGTGATAATGTTAATAATAGTAATAGTAATACACGTGCACCATTATTAGAAACAATATCAATTCTTGCATCATCATCATCATTTATATATTCATATAGATCATCATCATCATCATCTTCATTACGATCATTACAATCACCAACATCTGAATTATCTGATAATCATAATGATAATGATAATGTTGTTATTGATGATACAATAATCAATGTAGATGAAACGATAAAAACCGATAATGAATCATCAGATTTGGGTAAGTTTTATATGGGGAAAAAAACAAAAAGTTTCTTAATTTTTCATTCAATTAATTAATTTTTTTTTGTTTAATTGAAAATTTAAGCTAAATTGAGCATTTCAACAGATTCAGATCCAAATGGTCAACAACAACAACAACGTTCATCAAAAGTTCGTTTCAGTAATGAAGTACAAATTAGCAAACACAATAATAATAATAATACAATCGATTCTGATCCATTAATCAATATTTATCAAACAACAAATAATCATGATCATCAACTACCAACAACACAACAAACATGTTCATCATCATCAAATTCTACATTAAATTCAACAAATCAATCGATTGATACAATATCATCTGTGGTTGATATCAATCCATCAACATCATCATATGTAAATATATCTACTTCACAATCTAAACATAAAAATTCAATTCAACAATTGAATACTACTACTACTGCCTTCACTAGTACAAGACCAACAACAACAACAACATCTACAAATATTAATGGTTTTAAATCCATTCTAAAAGATCCTTTATGTGCTAAACTTCGTCATCATTCAATACGTAATTCATCATCATCATCATCATCAAATATTATTACAAACAACAATATGAATCAAAATGAAACAACAACAACAACAACAACCAATCTATCAATCAATACAAATAATCAAAAGAAATTCATTAATAATAATAATAATAATAATAATGATTCTATAAACAATGAAAATAATCAATTATTATTATTGGAAAGTCAAATAGATCAATTATTTTATGGATCAATTGATTCACATAATAATAATAATAATAATAGTAATAATATTCTTATTACTAAACCAAAAGAACAATCATTTTTATCATCGATTATGATTGATAATGATGATGATAATGATGTAAAATTTTCAAATAAAATACAAAAATCAATTAAACAACTTAATCAAAATGATAGCAATCGAATATCTTGTTTTAATTATAAACAAAAAATCGATCAACAGTCAATAAAATTGAATAAAAATACATTGAATAATTATCATTCAAATATAAAACAACAAGAATTAAAAACAACAAACACAAAATCTAGAACAACGATGAAAATATCTAAAAATCAAAACAATCGACAATCATCATCATCATTGAATATTAATCGTCCATTTATAATGTCATCTTTGAATAATGATTATCGTATTGAACCAACAATATCCAATATACCAACAATAACCAATATGATAATGTCAAATAGAAATTCATTAGATCAATGGTTGGCTACATTAGAACAAGAATCTAAAAATAATAATAAAATTCTTATATCTGATGATTCGAAACAAAATGAATCAAAATCCATATCCAATGAATCAATAAATTCAACTAATCAAACTAAATTTCGACAAGAAGAATTGTATACATTATTATCGGATCCTATAAAAGGACCATCAATCAATCGATTAATGGATCAATTATCGAATTGGTCAGATAGTTTTGATAATGGACAGACGAAAATTGATTCAACAAATTCAACCAATAATATTTCCGATATTTCTAACAACAATAATAATAATTTAACAGCCAAAATATTGAAAAATACAAATAATAATTTACAAATCAATCAACAATTATCGAATAATAATGAACCAATATCAATATTATTATCATCAACGAATCGTTCAACATCACCATCATTATCATCATGTTCAACAAATCAAACAACACGTTCTCGATCAACAATGGCTACTGTTGATAATCATATTTATGAAGAAATATTATATGAAAGTTTTCAACAACAACAACAACAACAAAATCACCTTTAACACCTTCTTCTTTCTTTTAATTTTTATTTTATTTTGAATTAAATTATAAATTATAAATTACAAATAAATAAAGTAAAAATTTTAATTTTCAAATTTTTTAAATTTTTAAATTTTTTGATGATGTTGATGATGTTGATGATATCTAATCATTTTTGTTAAATGATCTCTCTGATTTTTTCCCAATTGTTGTTGTTGTTGTTGTTGTTGTTGTGTATGTAAACGCATATGTTTATTTAAATTAGATGGATCAGAAAATGAACGACCACAATAACGACAGCTTAATGGTTTAATACCAGTATGTGTACGTATATGAATTTTTAGACCATATTTTCTTGTATAAACTTTACCACAATATGAACATGTATGTAATCTTCTGGAAATATTTCCATTATTATTTCCATTATTATTATTGGATGTATCATGATGATTGGTTATTGTTTCATGATTGATAATTGAATTTGTTGTTGTTGATACACTTGTAATTGTTGATTCTGTTGGCTGTTTATTATTATTATTATTATTATGGTTGCTGTTTAATCGAGAATTTTTTCTATCCATCATCATTACCTTTTTCATTGTTGATTGTTGATAATGTAATGATGATGATGGTGGTGATGTTAATGTTGTTAATGATTTATCATTAACAATATTTGAACATTTAAACATTAAATGAATTTTTAATGGATTTGGTTGTGAATATGAATGACCACATCTATGACAAATATAACAATGATTATTTATAATATTATTTGGTAATAAAAATATTGGTATATTTAATTGTATTGATAAACCAATCCATGGCCAAAACGATAATTGTTCACCTGGTTCAATTGGTTTTATAACAATAAAAAATACCGGTATTTGTTCATTATGTTTATATGTTTCATTCATATTCGTAACTAGATGTTGTTGACTAGATGCTGATGATGTTAATGTTGTTGATGTTGATAATGAACTAGCTGGAAATGCAATCATATTTTGTTCAAAACAATTTGTTGCCAATTTTACATGATTTAACCAATCATTATCATCATTGGTTTTATTATTATTATTATTAAAATCAGTTATAATTAATGGTGAAAGTATACCATTTATAGATGAAATTTTAATATTATAATTATTTGTTGTTGTTGATGTTGTTGTTGTTGTTTCCAGAATTGTTAATAATCTTGAAATATTTAAATGAAATATTGTTGATCGACAATTTGGTTCAATCCAACCATTTGCAATTATATTATAAATCATATTGTTGGCCATCGATGTTTGTTTTTTGATTATTAATTAATTCTCATTATCATCATATACGTCTTTATCGTTTGAAAGTCAATATTCGATTGAAACATTCAAATCAGATCAGAACAGATCAAACACAAACCACAAACAAACAAATAATCAACGACAAGTGCTTCGACCGCATGTATGATAATGATGCGGTCGACACTTACCAAATACGAATACTTAATATACATTGAAACTGATCGACACATGACAAACCAACCAGCTGGATCCAATTGGACCAGATGACACCATTGAATACACACATACATCACACACATACAAATACATCCTAAGCTGTGTGGTGGTATTACTCTCTCTCTCTCTCTCTCTTTCCCTTTTTCATGATTTGTCACATCTTGCCTTTTTTTTGCAAAAAAGCCTTACCATATTTTCACAATTGTATTCAAAAAAATCATTCAATTCAATCCATCCATCCATCCAATCTATTGTTCAATTAGTTTCATTGGTCCATTTGTTTCGGTTATTTTTTTTGCCTTTTCTACCTCATACACACACATAAATGCACATAAACAAAATATCTGGTTCGATGATAATATATATCTCGCGCCTTTCATTGATCTTTTTTTTTACTTTGTTCATTATTTCATTGTTCATTGTGATAATCACGGTGGTTAGCATCAAGATGTTGTGGCCAGTATCATCAACAGTTACCAAGAACGATAACAACAAAAAAAACTGTCACGGTTATTATATGGTGGATGAATATTATGGATTCTATTCAGAATGACAAAGAATCTTACTTTCTCTCTTTCTCTCTCTTTCTCTCAAAATCATTATGGTGAATGAATGGTTAAAAAAAAAAGTTAAAAGAATAAATATATTCAATTGTTTATTGAGAGAATAGAATCTGCGAAGAATCTTTTCGCAAGTGAATTTATGGAACCACAACTGGCAAGTGCATAACTAATTTTCTTTTATTCTCTTCGTTTTGTTGTTTGCTGTTGCACATTGTGTTTTCTCATTTTTTGTCCACATTTTTTTTCATCTTTGGTTTCATTAAAATCTCTGATCAGGGCCTTTTTTTTGGTATTAAAAAAAAATATTCCTGATCCTGTGTACAAGGTGACAACAATAAGTCAACAAGCAAGCAAAAATTTGTAATAACAGAAGCGAGAATAATTAGCAGCAAACAAAAAGAAAAAGTTGATTTCTCAATTTCAATTGATGATTAACAGGATTTTTTGGTTGATTCTTGGATTCCCCCCATATAAAATATTTTCTAGCATCTGGCTGGTCGATTTTTTTTCTCCTGCGTGCTATACAGCTGTTGTTTTTTTTTTTTGGTTTTTGGTTTTTGGTTTGGGGTGTCGCCCGTATCGAAATGATTCAAAGAAAACAAAAAAACCGCAAGGGNCTTTTATTCTCTTCGTTTTGTTGTTTGCTGTTGCACATTGTGTTTTCTCATTTTTTGTCCACATTTTTTTTCATCTTTGGTTTCATTAAAATCTCTGATCAGGGCCTTTTTGGTATTAAAAATATTCCTGATCCTGTGTACAAGGTGACAACAATAAGTCAACAAGCAAGCAAAAATTTGTAATAACAGAAGCGAGAATAATTAGCAGCAAACAAAAAAAAAGTTGATTTCTCAATTTCAATTGATTATTAACAGGATTTTTTTTTTTGGTTGATTCTTGGATTTTTTACCCCCCCCCCCACTAAACCAAAAAAAAAATATTTTCTAGCATCTGGCTGGTCGATTTTTTTTTCTCCTGCGTGCTATACAGCTGTTGGTTTTTTTTTGGTTTTTGGTTTTTGGTTTGGTGTGTCGCCCGTATCGAAATGATTCAATGAAAACAGAAAGACCGCAAGGTCCAAAAATTTAGTTGCGGTTGCTGTTTTTCTATCACATTATCAGGTAGTAGTGTTAGCAGAAAAACAAAAAAGACCAACATTTGTTTGATTGTCAACACCAAAACACCACCAATCATCACCATCATTACGGGTATATATTGATACTATATAGCTACTGCTGCTGCTACATTTTACATACATACCATGAACGACATATACAATGATAATATTTCAACATGTGTTACCGGCTACACGGTTAATATATTAATCCGATTAGATTTGCCTTGTGATTCATAATTTTAGCTAAAAGGAAAAAAAGTGAAACACGCGCACAGAGAGAGAGAATATAATGACCAAAAAAGGGAAAAAAAAAATTGTTTCGCTTTTTATGAAGAAAAGCAATCCCCACTCTCTTATATATATTCACACTTTGAATTGATTTCAATATCGATTTTGTTGTTGTTGTTTTTTCATCTTTTGTTCAAGTAATAAGTAATCATCATTGATGATTATTCATGTTGTTTGTTTGGTTTTGGTTGTTTGGTCCTTCAACTTGATAATCTATTTTTACTTTTTATATTTTTTCTCTATCAAATTCAATGCTGAATGGAAAGATTTTTTGTTTTGTTTTCAAAATTAATTATTTAATACCGGATTCAGACAAGGACAGAATCAATCAATCAAGTTTCAAGTTCATTTTGTAGTTGTAATTTTTTAAGTTGAAATTTAAAAAAAAAAATCAAGTCACGATAATCATGAATGAATGAATGAATCAAATTCAACAATGACAAACAAATGTATTTTGATTGTTGTTGATTGTACTTGTTAAATAATTCATTTCGGTTTTGTTTCTACCCGAATTCTTTAAGGTTTTTCATTTTTTTCTCTGGAATTTTTTTTGAATCAAATTCCAGAAACAAAAGAAGAAAAAACAAAAAAAAAGGAAGAAAAACCAGATTTTTCACTAAAGTCATTTTGAAACAAACAAAAAATCCGAAAATTATCCGATAATTTGATTTTTTCCATTTGAATTTTTTTTTCTCTTGGAATGAATTGACATTTCATTAATTCATTGGCCAATTATGTCAATGGTTTTTTTTGTCGTTCTGCTTGTTTTTGTGATGAATCATGCCCAATCATTCTAATATTTGTCAAATCAGAATAATAATCATCATTATCTGTCATGTTTTTTGTCACACACATTCTTTCGGACAAATCATATTTGTAGCAGGTGGAAACTAAAACAACAACTAAAAAAGTATTTTTTGTTGTTGTCAGTACATCTACTCAATCCAAAAACCGGACTAATATTAGGATTTGGGATTTTGGGATTTCTATTTTCTTCTTTCTTCGGGAAAATCATTTCATTTCATCCCCATAATCATCGTGTATACATCAAGGTGACATTGTCAATTTTTTTTTTTTGAGAATGACGAAACTAAAACAACAACAGCAAACGAAAATTGTACAGTTACCTGAATGAAATGAATACCCCACTTAGTGATATACAAAAAAAAAATATTTACCTTGAATCAAACCAATCCAATCCAATAGAAAATCTACCCACCCACCTACCATTTAAAAAAAAACACAGGTAAAAAACCTGCACTTTTTCAATGATTATAAGCTAAATGTCAACAAAAAAAAAAATTGTTGAGATTAATTCATTGTCATCACTAAAAAACAAAAAACAAACAATGAAAGAATCTTCAAACAAATCTTATCAACAACAACAACAAAGCAAAACAAAAACATTGAATTTCATTTTATGTTTAGCTGGTTTATGTGTTTCATTTCATTTCTCTATCTTCAAATAGATCTTTCCTTTTTTTTAAAAAGATTAAACTATCAAATTCTTCAATCAAATTCTTACATGTAGTAGTTTTAAATTCTGATCAATCCAACCAAGGTAAATGATACATTTTTGTTTTGCTTTTTTCCCATTACATAATAATAACTAAATGATCCATCCATTCAATCAAAATGGATCATTCTCATCTATTATGTATCAGTATTTTATTTATGAATTAATTATTATTCTGATGATGATGATTTTCTAGTGAAAATAAAATGATTCCAATGATTATTTCTGTATACAGAATCTAGATACTACTATTTAGATCCTTGAAAATAACATACACACGCAAGCGTTCAGGTGTAATGATTCATTAATAATGTAATGTATATATTATATTCAGATTTTTCTTGTTTTGAATTGAATGTCTGAATGTATGAATCAGGAATTTGACAGCATAATAATCATTATATTTTGTAGAAGAAAGAAGAAGAAGAAAATCATTCGATTATTATGATTACAGTTGTTTATTTCCCCCCCCTTCGTTTTCACCGAAATATTTTTTTTTTATTCTGCGGACAACCCGGATAAGAATTTACAAACATTCACCATATTGGAAATTCTATATCAGTCATGCTCAAAAAAAAAATCAATCAAAAAAATGTCTTTCCTATATATATACATAGGGTGTATTTAGTTTGTTTGTTAGTCAGTTCGTTTGTTTGTTTGTTTGTGTGTTTGTGTGTTTGTGTGTGAAGAAAATGGTGAGGGAAAAAAACTGCAATGCAGTAAATGCAATTCACACTTCCCACTCTCCCTCTCTTTCTTGTTATTCAAAAAAAAGTTGACTTTTACCCCATTGACATTCCATAAACAAAAATAAGGTCGATGGTTAAAAATTCCGGAATTCTATAAGCAGATTCTATAAACATAAAGTGAAACCATATCAAACAAACAAAATAGAAAAAAAAGAGAAGAAAAAGATTCTTGAATCGACCGGCATTATCCGGCATTATTTCTATTTCCTTTTTCTCCTCTTTTTTTAGATTTTAACCGGATAAATCATTCCAAACAGCAGTAGTTGTTGTTG